TTGGCCACATTCGCATAAGCTGAAGAGTACAAGGTACACCCGTTTGAAAGCCCACGAAGAGCTCATTTGCCAGGTCGTCATCAGCATCTTCATCTTCGCTCACACGGCCTGCGTGGTTCCGGCTGTTGTGCTTTGGATAGTCGTTGGGTGCTTGGGGACAGATAAGAGATCAGAAAGGTTTAGGGTCTAGGGGGTGGCCTGGGCTTGAGAGCTTTGATTTTGTCTAACCCTGCAGGAAAGCCCAAAGCAATCTAATTTAAATTTAGAGAATCTAAACCTAATCCGAAGAACCTTGAACCCTAAACCCTATCGCTTCTGGGGAGTTGATAAGAATTCTACTCGTTGGGCAGTTGAGTTTGATCAAGACGACGACAGGATAGCTAGCTTTAGGGTTTATAGGGTTTAGGGTTTAGGGCTTAGGGTTTTGGGTAATTTAGGGCTTAGGGTTTCAGGCTTTGGGGTTTAGGGTTTAGAGTACTCTTGCATGTGAACGGACCGACCTGTGTCATGTCCGCCACCGGCATGTTGCTCCGCTCGTGGAAACATACCTGCATCGGAGACATTCGAAGCTGTGCTAGCTGCTAGCCAAGCGCTTTGTTGCAACATGTGTCCGGGTACACAGGTCGGCACTCATTTTGCTCTCTTGCACAACCTCCCCGCGTGTGCACAGGAACTCGCAACTTCACACGAAACGGGTAGATACAGCAGCTGGGCACCTATAGTGCAAATTTCGATCATCGATCTTCAAAGGAAAATCAGGAACCGCCTTTCGGGTTCTTACCCTTAGCCTTTGTGGGGCTGCTCTTTTTGCCGCCCTTTTTCTTGGAAGGCTTTGGCTTCTCCGTCTTGTCCTTCTTGGAAGGCTTCGAGGACCCTGCTGTGGATTTCACCGACCTGATAGGTAGGCTTTACAGCCTATTAATCATATAGGGTCCCTTGCCTTAGAGTTTAGGGTTTAGCTAAAGATTTAGGGTTTAGGGGGAAGGGCTGGGAGATTTATTATCTAAGGACCTTCTGGGTTTGAGGGACAAGTTGTTCGTTATATAGGTCGTAAAGGCTAAAGACTTTTACAGGGCTTAAAGCCTTGAGTGAACGAGGGCTAGGGTGACTCACAGCGGGGTTCGGAGGGCGAAGGACCTCTAGGGCTTAAGAAGCTTGGGGACATGGTNNTTGTGCTAAGGAAACCTTGGGGTTTTTAGGTGTAGATCGTATAGGAGGTTGACAAGCTATGGGTCAGTCGGCTGAGGATCTGGATGTACAGTGCCGGGGCTTATAGACGGTGCAGAGGCTTTAAGGATGCATTGCATATTTAAATATGGTTGTAGCATAAGGCCATGCTCCTGCAAACAAGAGTCTTCGACCTCACAATGTAGTTGTTCATGATGAGGTCCTGCTTCGTCACATCTGCAAACATGCGAAGGATGGAGTCCGAGAACGGCCTCAGTAGGTATTTCACACCCTAGGAACATTGAGAGATATATGATTAAGTTTGAGTTTAGCAGCTTATCCAGCGGCCGGGTCAATGCATCAGACTGCTTCTTGGTCAGATCACTGAACATGTTCTTCATGCTCTTGAGCACCTCCGCAATCTGGTCGCGGAGCCTTGATCGATCAGCATGCACAAACCTAACACACGTACAGACACATATCGTTTAAGTGCAGTGGAGTAGCGCTGTCGCCCGAGCTCCTCCCACACTTGACAACCGATCCTGCAGCATAGCATTCAANNCAACCAATTTTATATCTAGGTACTACAAGCCAACCCCACCCCCCACGGTCCAGCACATCCTCGGTATTGTCGATTTTCCGTCCCAACACTTCTAAGTACTCAGGCAACAGCTGGACAGGCGAGCTCGTCTGCGACAAGCTTGGAAACGTAAGCCTTGGGATTTGGGGTATAGGTTCGTGGGGGCTAGGCTAATGCGGTTTAAAGAGGTACCGTGTATAGTATGCAAGCCAGCCGCTTGAAGCTTGCACTCGCGGAAAAGGATTCCATCTGCTGGGCTGAGCTACCGGAGGCTGGGGCGCCTACAATACCACTCGCCACTGCACTCTCGTCGGCATCGACGTCCGGTATGTCGCTCGACAACAGAAATCCGGAATCGTCCTGGCGGGGATGCAATGTAGTTTCAAAGGGGGTCGGGAAACCCGAACTGGAAATGAATCTTAATAGGGAATCATACGGGGCTCCTCGATGTCGATTCTCCCTTCAAGGTTCGTCTCTTGCTTGGTGAGGTCTGATGCTTCGAATTTGTCGGTGATCACTATCCTTGCTTCTTCTTCCCCGTGGATGGCGTTCTTTCTCAAGTTCTTGCTGCGTGCCGCCCACTGCCATGCTGCTGAGATCATCTTCCTTATAAGGTGCAATGCCATGATGCTATCCGAAAACTACCAAAGGACCCTCGATGTTGCATCAATCGAACTTAGGATTCGGCGGGGTCCAGTGGAGAGCTTGCTGCAAGTATTGCTTTGTTACCCACTGGCCTTCCTTGCTCTTGCCGTAGCTACTCAGATGGCTCTTGCGGATGTTGAGTTCCAGCGCCTTGAAGCTGCCATGAGTTTTCAAGAGCTCCCGGAGTTTGGTACCTAAGTGCACAAATATTATAAGGCAGAGGGGTTTGGGGCGTTTAGGGTTTATGGGGCTGGGGGTTTAGGGGGTTGGGGGTTTGGGGTTTAGGGAGTTGGGGGTTTAGGGTTTAGGGGGTTGGGGGTTTGGGGTTTAGGGGGTTGGGGGTTTGGGGTTTAGGGAGTTGGGGGTTTAGGGTTTTGGGGGGTTGGGGCTTTGGGGTTTAGGGGGTTGGGGGTTTGGGGTTTGGGGGGTTGGGGGTTTGGGGTTTAGGGAGTTGGGGGTTTAGGGTTTAGGGGGTTTGGGGTTTAGGGGGTTTAGGGTTTAGGGGGTTGGGGATTTAGGGTTTAGGGGTCTTGGGCACATAGCTACGATGATTTCGCCTAGCTGCGCCCTTCAGCTGTCTTGTAAAGGGCAAGTGCTTGCTCAGAGCACTTTAACGATCCGCATTTCTTCGGTTCGAAATACCGTCTCATCCTCAGCAAAAGCACAGCAAGACATGGTAAGTGTGAGCACGTGCACAATATATGTATGTATATATGCGTCCGTCCCTGAGCACACACGTACACACACATATACCTTTAAAAGAATTAGCAGTCGAAAGTCTGCCAGTAGCTTGGGCTTTTGGACCTCTTCGTCTGGGTCTTTCGGACAGGGGCCGGTGTTGCGCTCGAGGACGGCGGAGTCACACTCTCGGGGGGAGATCCACTCTCATTCAAGCTCTGTCGGCTCCTGTGTTTCTTCGGGGTCACGTGCGGCTTGGAAGGCACAGCGTGGTCTGGGTTTGCCAGTGGCACAGGTCCAGTCGAAGGCAAGGTGTGGCCTGGGTTTGCAGTCGAAGGCATGGTGTGGCCTGAGTTTGCCAGTGGCACGGGTCCAGTCGAAGGCAAGGTGTGGCCTGGGTTTGCAGTGGAAGGCACGGCCAGTGGCACGGGTCCAGTCGAAGGCAAGGTGTGGCCTGGGTTTGCAGTCTCAGGCACAGCTCGGTTTGCCGGTGGCACGGGTCCAGTCGAAGGCAAGGTGTGGCCTGGGTTTGCAATGGAAGGCACGGCGGTGTGGCCTGGGTCTGCCAGTGGCACGGGTCCAGTCGAAAGCAAGGTGTGGCCCGGGTTTGCCAATGGCACGGCTTGGGGGTCGGCGTTTGCAGGTGGCACGGCGAGGATGGCTAAGTCTTTCTTTCTGGGGTACGGGCACTGTGCATCTTCCACGGTGCTATCGAAGGAATCACTACTCCCACGTGTCCGGCAAGAGTTCGGCGGGCTTGTCATAGGCACAACAAAGGTACCAGCCAAAGCCTCACATGAAGCCATCCTGGCCACACTTGGGGCACCTTGGATTAGTACACATGCATAGCAGAAGCCACATGGCATGCATAGGTTATAGGCTTTAGGGTTTATAGGGTTTAGGGATTTGGGGGTTTATAGGGTTTAGGGTTTCTATAATTGTTCACACACACACATACACATAAACCCTAAACCCTAGCTATATATATGATCGTGTGACCTGCAGGTGGCGGTGTCCCGGCGGGGGCTCCTGCAGTGTTCAAGGACTTGCGGGTCGCGAGCTGCGCTTGCAAAGCTTGGATCTTCGCCTTGGAAGCCTCAGTGATGGGATAGGGTTTGCTGCGGGACTGCATTAGCAACAAACTTCTGGAGAGTTGTGTGCAATAAATGCTGACATAAGGCTGCAATGCGAGCTTGGAGATCATGCTTTGCATTCTGCTCAGCCATCGAGTTTTGTCCCAACAAACTAATCCCAGCTAGCAGGGAATTGCAGGATCCTTGCCTGGAGGCCATAAGTACTTGTACTGCCCACAGAGCCGTTCTGCGACACATCCACACACTCACAGCAAGAGCTACAGGCAGCAATCGTATTGGCGAGCCACTTGAATGCTGGATTGTAAACATGCACACACGAGCTCGGCTTTTGGCAGGATACCCCAGCTCTCTTCCGGAATCAGCTTCTACGAGGCCACGGATCTGAAAATCAAGCCGGTTTTTTAAGAATCCAGCCGCTTGTGTTTTTCGGTTTGATATGGAAATTTGGTTTGCGGCCGGTTGCGGGGATTTGCGTCCGGGTTGCGGGTTTTTGCGGCCGGAGTGCGGGTAAAAACGTCCGAGGGTTTTATGGCTTTTACCACTAAAAGACACCAAATCAAAAAGAGACCGGAATCTCCTAAAGAGCCCTTTAAATAGACTAGTTTGGGGCGGTGTTCAGGGGCTTGCCTTCTAGATTGTCTAGCGAGCACAGCAACCCGGGCGGCTGGGAGCCGTACTCCCGGAGTTCAGGATTGCCTTCTAATCTAGTCTAGAGAGTCTAATTGCGCTCGGGAGCTGGGGGCCCGGGGATCGCCTTATAAATCGTCTAGCAAGTCTAGTCTTCCGGGGAGGCAGCAACTCGACCAGAGATCAGCGGATTGCCTTCTAAAGAGTCTGCCTAGCAAGCCTAGTGGGCCCAGTCGTCTAGTGCAGGGGACGGCTCGGGATTTGCAACCGTGGCAAATAGCAGCAGCCAGCCGAACATCAATTAGCCGACGCCTGAATTAAGCCTTGCAGTTCACTTCGCAACTCCTCGCTGCCGCATGCCTTGGGTCGGCAAGGGTTCCTAGAGCGACAGACGTTTCATGTTCATATATGCAAGAAAGGTGCCGTGGCTAGGACATCTTCCTTGAACTCCTTCATTGTATCATGCCAGCTGTCCGGTATCCTGAACCATGGCTGTATGCTTTAGTGAAGAGGCCCACTCCTATGTTATGTTCAGTCGAGAAGCTCCACTTTCTTGCAACGGTACAAGTACAAGAACACTTCGTGGATACGGCTGTCCAACCAGAGATCATTGCTAGGCAATGCTGCAAAGATCTCGCGGTCACTCTTTGAGAGGTCCACATATTGTCGAGCCCGTAAGTCTCCACGTGTAACAGCCGGCATGATCCTCCAGTCTTCATACGCCTTGAAGAGGTTCTTCCCGAAGTCTCTGGTGTATGCACTTAGCTAGCAGTGTTGGGGAGTGAAGATGTACTGGTTCTAGCTGTGGGGCAGGTTGTGCTGGCTACCTGCTTACCTACCTATACCTAGCTACGTAGTATTACCTGCCTCCTACCTACCTACCTAC